CCCCCCCCCCCTCCCTCACTCTCTCTCTCTTTCTCTCACTCTGTCTTTTTTTCTCTCCGATGACGAGGAACAGCGATCGCGCGAGACGTCATCGTTATTGTTCTCTCATTCGCTCGCCGATTTTCCAATCGCGAGCCTCTTCTCGCGCGACGCGAGCTCAACGTTCTTCTCTTCTTCGATCGTGCGACGAGAAGAAGCCGGCGGCACATGCGGGAGCGAACGTAGATTCTACACGAGAGAAGAGCTGTGCGCACCGGGAGAGCGAGAGATACGAGTAATCGCGCGTGTAATTCGACGGAGAGAAAAGGGGACACACCCGCGCGCGAATTCACACGTACATGCGCACATATATACATACACACACATACGCCAGATTCATAAACAAATCATGAATTAGTTAGATAAGCCACGCGTGAAGCCAGTACAGTCCCACGGCGTGAGTGTGAGAAAATAAAAGAAAGGGTATTTCATAAAATATACATTTGTGCGTGCGTGTGCGGAGAGAGAATGAGAGAGGAAGCTAAATAACGTCGAAGAGAGAGAGAGAGAGTGAGTGAGAGAGTTGCTCGTGCGTGTGTATTTGGTGTGTGTGCGCGAAAGAACGAGAGCATAGTGGTGGAGCGAATGTGTATGATTTCGACACGAGTGTGAACGAGACGCGGTGGGTAGGATAAATGATTTATTGAAAAATGTTGTATATTATTACGAATTATAATGATACTATTATAATTAATTAATTAATTAATTAATTATTATACCCTAATAATAATGTGAATTGAATTTAAACAACAAAAAATACACGAAATGATAAGTAATAGGCGAACAAATTTTTAATTGTTAGCGAAGCACACACGGAGCCGTTTATTGATTAACACGCTACAGCCGAAAACTCGAGAATACATAAGCAGAGCGACGCCGATCCGCCCGTCGCACGCGGTCTTAGCGAAGTATAGCGCACGTGGCGAAGTAACGCGCGCGCGCGTAGGCGAACGTCGTAGAATTTAAAATCCACGCCGGGAGAAAGTGCATCGCCCAGCCTCGAGCGACACGACTCGCCCTCCGTATAAGGAAAGAACGACGTATTCTCGATGATCCTCGGCGCGGTAGAACGTAGAACCGTAACCGTTCGTTCGTTCGTTCATTCGTTCGGCGGAACCTGCTTCTTCGCCGCGGAGCGAAGTCTCGCTACATTCCGTAGTATCGAACTAGTCACACGCATTCGCAGGCCAGGGAAACGGCGCGCGATCGTAGAGTCAGAATTTACGACTCGGCTTGAACCGCGTTATCATTGGTTCTTCGCTTCTTTTCGCTTCCGAGAGAGAGAGGGGAGGTGAAGAATCTCGAGTCGACCGCTGACATCGGTAAGATCGGTCCGTGGACTTGGGAACAGACTGATTAAGTTTTAGCGACATCGTTAGATTCCGCGTTCGTTCGTTAGATATTTTATACACGTTAGATATTTGTTTTTCGTTCGAAAGTG